TTTCTGTGCGGTGGTAAGGATGTCTCTTTTGCGTGGGTAGTTATTAGGACAGAGAGATGCCACTGGATGGCACATTACAGCTCCCCGGTGCATTGATCCTTCTCTTGCTGAAGACATGTCTTAAGTGGATTTGTTTTCCTGATATGAAGGTTATGATTCAACACTGTCATGCCAAGGAGGGTGGGACTCACCCCTGAGTACCCAGTCCCCAGCTCCTAATCACTCCTAATTCACACCAGACTGTGTTCTGAAATGTGGGGAGGATCTCTCTGCGATGCCTCAAGCCTGGCCTCTTTGTCCCCAGTTCAGGAGCAAGGAGGGTCTGGGAAGTTTCATATGGCTTTCAAAGAAGTTTGACACATTTACAGTGCAGCATTGTATAGAAAGAAGCCTAGGCTTATGAGATAGTCTGCAGTACAATACCTTCTTTTAAGTTACCTGTCTTCAAACTGTGAGCTAGCTACTGGCTTCCTGGAGTCTCTGGTGGCCTATCTTTAAATGGGAACAATAGATTATTATGTCATGCGTAGGTGTCATGGGTAAATAATAGAAAGCAGCAAGTGTCTAATTCAGCCAAGTTTTGCTACAATAGTGCTGGGTAACAAACAGCTCCAGGATCTTGACATCTGGAAAATCACAAACTGCTAATGATCTGCAGCCATCGAAGAAGCTTCACCTCAGACTAGGGGTCATGTTCTGTTTGCTCTGTATGTCTTTCTCTTCTGGGACAGACAGTAGCTTCCTGGAGTCTGCCTTTGTCTTTGGGCAGCGGCTTGCAGAAGGCCTTTCCTGACCACATATTCTCTTAGTGCTATGGATGGAATTGTGAGCCAGTAGCTTATTCACACACGGTCCAGATTACATAGAAGCCTATGTTGTTTCTTTCCTACATAGTGGTTGACAGCTGAGCCTTTACAGCCATCTCCTCTGTCATGCTCTATTTTGGGTCCTGGTTGCATTTGTAGACACCACACACAGCATCTTCTGTGGATAAGTGCCTCTCCATCCTTTCAATCCTCTCCCACTATGATATTTCTCCTAAAACAATGTGACTTCCTCCACACTCCCATGACTCCCTGGGACACTATTAGTTATCATAACTCAATTAATAAAGCTAACTTTTTAACTCCAAACATCTTTATCACTGGTCACCTCCTATTTTCCTAGCCTTGACTATGGCCAGCAGGCTTCCCCAGTTGCCTCAGTGGTACCCTGTTCTCTTGGCTTACTTATTTTTCATTTTTATTTTTGTTGTTTTTTGAGACAGGGTTTCTCTGCGTAACAGTCCTAGCTGTCCTAGAACTTGATTTGTAGACCAGGCTAGCCTTGAATTCACAGATATCCACCTGCCTGTGCTTCCCAAGCGCTGGGATTAAAGGCGTGCGCCACTACTGCCCAGCTCAGCCCACTTATTTTGAGTCCTGGACGCTGTCCTTGCTCTCACCCCTAATTTAAATGTCCCACCCTCTCTTTCCTGAATGGAGGAGAACTTATACTTGACCTTAAACCGTATACCCATGCTCAGTCCTTCCCAAGCCTCCTGGTAGGCAGCCACCATCCCCCCCCCCCCCCCCCCCCGCTGTCAACCAGTATGGCCTCAAACTCACAACAAAGGCAAGAATGACATTGGATGTCTGTGATAAAACACCAGGACTAAGGCAACTTATAGAAGAAGGAGTTTGTTTGGGTTTAGGGTGCCAGAGGGATAAGACAACCATGGCAGAAAGTGTCGGCCATAGTGGCAGGAGCTGGCTGTTGAGAGCTTACATCTTGATCTCCACACACAAAGCAGAGAGGGGGAACTGGAAACAGCACCGGTTTTAAACTCTCAAAGCCCACCTCCAGTGACATACTTCCTCTAGCAAGGCCTCACCTCCTCAAATCTCCTCCAAACAGCACTGGCAGCTGGGGACCAGTTCAAACACATGAGCTTACAGGGAGCATTCTCACCCAAACCACCGCAACTTCTGATCCTCCTGCCTTCACCCCTGCATGCTGGGGTCACAGGGGTGTGTCGCCTTCCCCACTTCAGTGGTGCTGGGAATGGAGCCAGGGCTTCATGCACACTAGGCAAGTGCCCTGACAACCAAGCCACCTCTCCAACCAAACCAGCCCGGTTTGGAAGATGCCAGCACAGGGGCATACCATGTCTCCATGGCTGTATGCTCTCACCCTGAGAATAAAGTCTTCGCCACAGAGGGGAAGTTGATGAGATGTCTCTGGATACCAGAGTATACCAGGAGAGTTCCAGAACCCTTCCCCACACTCACGCCTCTGAGCCTTTGCGCATACTCTTGTTTCTGCAAGGAATGCCCTAGTGCCCACATGCTGGTGAATTCCACCTGCCCTCCAGCTGGGCTGCCCCTCCTGTCAGCCCTGCCAACCCTGACGGCCCAACAAGAAGTCAGTCGACCTCTTTTCTCATGCCCTGAGCACACTTTGTTTCTTGCATGGCTGAGCTTTTGGATGGCAGGCGGCATCTGAACCTCTAAAGATGCCTTTCAGCCAAAAGCAATTTATTATTGGCTTTTGTAAGAGGGGTATGGCTAGATTGCAAGGTGCTTGCTCACTCTCTTTTCTTTCTCTCTCCCCTCCCCTCTCCTCCCCTTCCTATCCCCTCCCCTCCTCTTCCCTTCCCTCCTATCCTCCCTTTTCTGTCTCTATCTGTGTGTATTTATGTCTGTCTCAGTCTCTCTTCCTGCTCTGTCTCTGTCTCTGCTTTGCTCTGTTCTCTGTCTGAGCCTCATTCTCTCCTACTGCAAACAGAGAAGAAGCCTGTCCATAGAGGGAAGCCTCATCCCAGTCCCCAGCCCAGCTTCTTAGCAGAAATATATTCATCTCTTCGTCACAGTGTTTGTATGCTGGGCCAGGCAAGCAATCCTTATGACCCTGCATGTGGGCTATTTCTATACCTCACCCTATCACCGAGGCCAGAAAATTCTGCATGGCGAATGGTGCATCCAAGGTCATGACACACAGCTTCAAGCTGAGGTGGTTGTGAATGGGCAGGAATGTCTGAGCCGGTGACTCCCAGCTGATGGTTAGTGCTGGTTGTGTTCTGGAGAGTTCAGTTGTGCTGGAATCCAGAGGACCTTCACACAGCCTTTTCCCATGGCTCATGCCTCTCCTGATGGTGGGTAGGAACCCCTAGGGGACTGAGTCAAGGTCGAGACCTAAGTGTAGCTTCATACCTTCTCAAGATGTTGCTACATGCTGTTGTCCAGAACTCAGCACATACCCTCCAGCAAGGGAGTCTTGTGCCTTTGCTGTTGTTAAGAAGCACATGATGTCTGTCCAGGGATAGCTGCAGCTGACTCTCAGGAGACAGGTGATGGAGATTGCCCTGAATATAGCTGAGGTGGCCAGGTACATCAACATGATGCTGTTTGTGCTGAAAGGGGGGGGGGAGATTTAAATACCAGTCACCTGGTACTTAGAACATGGTTCAGTGTCTTCACCATGGCAACAGGGCTCACCCCTTCTCCATTTCACACCTTTGCTTTCTCTTGGCAACCACTAGAATAGCCCTACTGACCCTTGTACTTTTTCCTCAGGCAAGGTCATTCTGCCCCAGGACCTTTGCATCAGCTTGTCTTCTCTTCCAGAGTGATTTGCTTCACTGACTCTCTTCTTTCTGGTTGCCAAGACACTTCTTTGACCACTCATTTTGAAGCAGCTTGTCCCTCCAGTCTAGATGCTCTCTGTTTTGCTTCCTGAATAACACTTAGCAGGAAATAGAACTGTCTGATTTTGAAATTAAATTATTATGACTATCATTTTTTGGTGCTGGGGATTGAACCCAGGGCCTCATGCAAGCTAAGAACAGGCTTAAACTACTTATTATTTGTCTCTTCTTAGAATCCAAGACGAGATGGGAAGGTGTGTGTCTGTGATTCTCCCTGTGTCCCCAGGTCCTGAGCAGGATCTATAGGACATAGTTCTGCCCCGGATACGGGCAGCGGCTTTGTATTCATTGGGAAACAGCCCTTTGTTGAGCTAGTGATCTCCCGCCTCTCTATGCAAACCTCTTCATTCTGTGGCATGCATATACTGTGCCCCCCCATCAGCCACTGCTTCATGGTTGCTGGATGGATGGAACCACCTTGTGCACTGAACAGATACCAGATTGCAAGCCTGAAAGCTCAGAGGTATCTGTTTATATCTGCATGTGTCTCACCCACCTGTCTGCCCATCCATGCATCTATATTAGACTATATATGTCGACTAGTTGCTCATTGACTGGCTGGACTTTGAGCCCATTCCTAACAATCTCAGTTCTTTTCCAGCATCACAAGGGGTTCCTCTCCAGGATATCAGCGACAGGGTACAGGTTAGCTCAGGTTTGGGAATTCCCACCTGACCCACCTGGGCCTTTGGAATGGTGCTGTTGCCTCCTCAAACACAGGTCAGGCGTGGAGGAAGCCCAAAGCATAGGAAGCATGGGCAGAGCAAGCGAGCAAGGGCTAACTGATGAGCTTTCCTGTGTACCCAGCCTCATGGGGGACTTCCCAGCCAGGAGAAGTACTATATCACTACCCAAACACAAAGCAGAAAAAGAACCCTGCTTGTGGTTGAGTGGAGGATGGGCACGGGACAGTCAGAGCCTGGAGGCTGGGATGGTGACACCATAACTAATTCAGAGACAAGGCCACCGGTGGCAGAAAGGAGAGGCAGGACTGTCCAATTTGTGTTTGGGTACTGGCACAGGTGGTCTGTCCATCTCTCCCAGCAGAAAGTCGGAGCAAGAAAGTTAAAGGGGCAAGGGGTATTTGAGGTTCGGAAGCCAGAGCTGTGCAGAGCTAGTCAAAGGCAGGTGCATCTGTAAGGACAGTGAGCAGCTGGAACAGGAGGCAGCACCTACAGGGGAGGAGCAACCTTCAGGCTCCTGCTTCCCTTCACTGGCAACTGAGATCACCACCACCAGGGAGACTTGGTGTCTGAGAGACACACTAAAGGGGGAACACTACCGTCTCTTCACGCTCTCTGAACTGTTTCCCTTTCCCTCTCCACTTTGAGCTTTTTTTCAGCTTCAGTTTCTGTGAAACACTGAGTCTGCAGCCCCCGCCCTTTTCCAATAGCTTGGGCATATCCAAAAGTAGGAAAGGAGGTTTGGCTCCAAGTCTAGGGTTGGTGGGGGTCTCAGGTGCGCGTTAGGGTGAAGGCAGGGGCAGGGGCCACTTGAGCACCTTCTGGGGGACTCTCCCAAAGTCTTGTACACCCGGGGAATAGACCTCATTGTCTCTCCTGGGAGAAGAAAGCAAAGATCAACAAAGTAGGGAATTCAGGGTCCTATAACCCAGAATAGTGCTCAGGACGCAGCTGTGACATCTATGGCCGTCCTCCTATCCCTAAGTCTCTGGTGTGTCTGGATCCGCTGTGACCCACCTCTCCTCCATTTGTCTCCCGGGCTGGGACTACAGAGGTGGCCGGAAGAGGCTTCTGGTGTTGGGGGGGGGGTGCTATTTCCCGAACTCCGGACGAGGGTGTAGCCCTGGGGTCCTTCTCGGACCTGTGTGTGGCCTCTGGAGTCGGAAGACGATGCTGAGAGTCAAGACGCCAGGACACAGGTGGGAGAGCACGCAGGCGGCAGAAGCGCGGCTGATAGGGGCGGTTGCGCGGGACCTGGCAGCCACCGCACCACGGAGATCGCCCGGTGCCCGCGGCTCCGGTCCCTGCCCCCTTGATCGGGCGCTCTGAGCACCTCCGACTGGGAACCAGACGCAGTGGCAGCGGCCGCCCGGCGCTCTACCGCCACAGGATCACAGCTCGGGCAGCCTCGCGGGCACCAGTCGCTTCCTGCCCCATCGCGGGGACCAAAGGCGCATGAGGTGATCACCACTCCCGGATCCGGTACAGCTCAGGGTGAGAGCCTCTCGGGTCCGGGGACGGTCAGTTGCAGGACCCGGAGCACCCTCTGGGGTGCCAGATGGGGCTTCCCGGGGGGCGCAGGGTCGAAGTTGGGTCGACCCGCCAGTGTTACGCAGAACGACATGCTGCCGCCTGGGCGCAATGGCACGGCGCGTCGGGCGCGTCTGGGGATGCAGCGGCAACTGGCGCAGGCTGGCGCCCCGGGGGGCTCCGCGGCCCCGCTGGGACCCGCGCAGGTAGTCACCGCCGGCCTCCTGACTCTCCTTATTGTCTGGACCTTTCTTGGCAATGTGCTAGTGTGCGCCGCCATCGTTCGCAGCCGCCACCTGCGCGCCAAGATGACCAACATCTTCATTGTATCCTTGGCGGTCTCAGACCTCTTCGTGGCATTGCTGGTCATGCCGTGGAAGGCCGTGGTTGAGGTGGCTGGGTACTGGCCCTTTGGGGCGTTCTGCGATGTCTGGGTGGCCTTTGACATCATGTGCTCCACTGCTTCCATTCTGAATCTGTGTATCATCAGTGTAGACCGCTACTGGGCTATCTCCAAGCCCTTCCGCTACGAGCGAAAGATGACCCAGCGCGTAGCTCTGGTCATGGTGGGCCTGGCCTGGACTTTGTCCATCCTCATCTCCTTCATCCCGGTCCAACTCAACTGGCATAGAGACAAGGCAGGTTCCCAGGGCAGAGAGGGCCTACTATCTAATGGGACGCCCTGGGAGGAAGGCTGGGAGCAAGAAGGGAGGACGGAGAACTGCGACTCCAGCCTGAACCGAACTTACGCCATCTCCTCCTCTCTCATCAGTTTCTACATCCCAGTGGCCATCATGATCGTGACCTACACGCGCATCTACCGCATTGCACAGGTGCAGATCCGCCGGATCTCCTCCCTGGAGAGGGCAGCCGAGCATGCTCAGAGCTGCCGGAGTCGCGGGGCTTGCGAACCTGACCCCAGCCTGCGAGCATCCATCAAGAAGGAGACCAAGGTCTTCAAGACACTGTCAATGATCATGGGGGTCTTCGTGTGCTGCTGGTTGCCCTTCTTTATCCTGAACTGCATGGTTCCTTTCTGCAGCACTGGGGATGGCCAGGGCCCAAGGACTGGCTTCCCTTGTGTCAGTGAGACCACCTTTGACATATTCGTCTGGTTTGGCTGGGCCAACTCATCTCTCAACCCCATCATCTACGCCTTCAACGCTGACTTCCGGAAAGTGTTCGCCCAGCTGCTGGGGTGTAGCCACCTCTGCTTCCGGACCCCTGTGCAGACTGTGAACATTAGTAATGAACTCATCTCCTACAATCAGGACACCGTCTTCCACAGGGAGATTGCTGCTGCCTATGTCCACATGATTCCCAATGCGGTGTCCTCTGGAGACCCGGAGGTGGGCAAGGAAGAGGAGGAGGGGCCTTTTGATCACATGTCTCAAATCTCTCCAACAACCCCAGATGGTGACCCGGCTGCTGAATCTGTCTGGGAGCTTGACTGTGAGGAGGAGGTTTCCTTAGGCAAAATCTCACCTCTCACCCCCAATTGTTTCCATAAAACTGCTTAGAAGCACCCTCATGAGAATACATACAACTGCAGCCGTATTTGCAGGCATTCACACATGCACACACACAAATACACACTCCCAGTGTGCATATGCTTTCTGTAGTCCAGCTGCATAGAAGCCCAACAATTCTTAGCTGAGAAAATTAGCCGAGGCTGTTGGAATAAACTCAGATATTCTGGACACGGACGAGTGTTTCCTTTAGGGAAGAGAAAGTGGAGACTGGTCCTTTAAGAACACACTCAACTTGACTTTCCTACCTTAAGCTTGTCCTGTGATTTGTGTCTGGGTTGCCTTTTAAATGACAGGCCTCTTAGTGGCAATTGTTGGGGTACAGTGATTTTCCAGAGACTGGGGTCTGTGGCCTGGTGCTCCGGTGGCTTCTGTTTAGTTTAGGTTGGGGCTCTTTCCTGGGCCTGGAATTCCTTCCTGATTTGTCCTGGTTTTTAGTGGGTGCACAGTACATGTGCTTGGGCTGGGGGAGGGTCACCTTGGCGTTGCCAGTTGGTGTTCAGTGTTGTTCCTGGAGAAATCACAGCATGATTTTAAAAAACAGCTGGGTTGGAGCACACATTTGTTTTCTGAGCTTGGTTTAGGGAACACGCTGGACAACGGGCCTTGAGGAACTGCTGAATTCTCAGCTCTCTTTCTATTAGCCAGCCATACCTCCAGGGCATGCTGAAAGATAGTTTCACCGCCATAGTGTTAAATTCGGACTTCTCAAGCCTGGAGCTCAGCTAGTTTTATTTAGACTCTCGGACATTTCTTCTAGGATCACAGGAGACAATGGTCCTGGTTGCTAGACAGATGCTCTTCACTGCATTGGAAAAGCCACCTAGAATAAGAGCCCTGCCATTTCCATCTCTCATCTGGAGTGTTTCAGAATGATGGATGTGGCTTCAGTAAACCATGTTTTCTGGGGTCTTTCAGATGTGACAGGTTTCAAAGTCCTTCAAAACCGAAATCCTGCTTGGAAGCAGGTGATGCTATTTGCAGACAATAGCAAACGGAATGAACTTCAACCCACATGCAGAAAGCCAGAGGTGACAAGTGAGTGGGTGAACCCATAGATTGAGGGGCTCACTAAGGAGCCCACCTGTCTGGCCTTTTGCTTTCCCTCTCTGCAGTGAGTGCAGTGAAATATACTTCATTCTGGTATGGTTTCATTAGACACAGATGAAAAACTGTAACAAAAGCAAATGAATTGTGCATATGTAAGTTCCTACCCTCCCCTGCTTCAAAGACAGCTTCTCAAGGACAGTTCAATCAATTCTGGTTTCCTTATGGATAATTGTGTTATGAGTTTTCTGAACAGTCGTGTCTTGTCTCTTGTAAAATGTTCAGTGCCTGTCATACCATGCTTAATAAATGTTTGTTGAATGAATCATTTTCTGAACAGTGAGTCTGAAAGCAAACCTTGCTCAGTGTATTGAGTCCTATGATTTTTGTCAAACTGATACTGGGACTGTGTTCGGGTTTTGACTTCTTGCAAACCCACAACTAAGCAGATCATTGGGGCATAGGCAGGGGCTAGAAAAGGTGCACTGTGCCAGGATTCTGAAGGTGACTGCATGATCCCGAGTGGGCCTGTGGACCTCGCTGGGACTCACTTTCTGGATGCTTTTGTAAATGGAAGGACTTGATCACTAACTTTTTGGTTTTTTTTCTTCTTTTATACATTACATCCCAACCAGTTTGCCCTCCCTCCACTTCTCCCAACCCCTCTCCCTTCTCCCTTCTCCCTTCTCCCTCAGAGCCACTGCTTCTCCATTTCCCTTAAGAAAAGAGCAGGCCTCTCCAAGGATATCAACCAACTTGGCATGGAAAGTTACAATAAGACGAGGCACAAACCCTCGTATAAAGACTGGCGGAGGCAACCCAGTAGGAGGAAAAGGGTACCAAGAGCAGGGGGAAGAGTCAGAGACAGCCCCATCTCTCACTGTTTGGAGTCCTACACGAACACTAAGCTACAAAATCATAACTTATATGTGGAGGACTTAGTGCAGACCAACGTAGGCTCTGCGATTGTTGCTTCAGTCTCCATCAGCCCCTATGAGGCCTGCTTAGCTGATTCTGTGGGCCGTGTTTTCTTGGTGTCCTGGACCTCTCTGGATCCTACAGTCCTTCCTCCACTCTCCAGAAAGTCCCCCTGAGCTCTGCCAAATGTTTGGCTGATCACTAACTTTCAAATTGTGTTTCATGATGCGGATGATCACAGGTAGAGTCTGAGAAGCAGAGCAAACTGGGGTTTGATGCTCATTTTTCTATAGGGTTCTAAAGAGCTTTTTTTTTTTTGAGTGCGCTGAATCCCAAATGTGTGAAAATCATTTCCCAGCATCTTTGTCCCTGAGAATCCTTGTTGGCTTGGATTCCTAGTTTTTTTTCTCTCTCTCTGCAGTCCTCCATTACAGGAGCATAGTTTGAGAAACTTGGAAATTTAGAAGCTAAAAGAACAGGCTCTGGTAAGCCAACATGGGTGACAAATGGCTTAGTTGAAAGAGGTCTGTGTTATGGTAAACCCATCTTGTAAGGACCATGAAGCCCCCCTTGCCAAGATATCATTCTCCTGTGTAGCATTTTCATATCACACATGCTCAGAACGGTCTTACACTCTGGGAATACAGTCATCATCTGTCAGATTCTCTGCTGTCTTGGAACCTGGTATTAGTGGGCTCGGGTAAGTTCATATTGCATTGCTTTGGACCATTCCACCCATGACATTCATCAGGAAGCTGTGACACAGAAGAAAAAGAAAAAGCTGTGGCTACGTTTAGGGTTATCAGGTGAGATATCACCAGAGAGAAAGAACTGTCTGGGCAGAAGGAATGACAGGTGCCATAGTCAAGAAGTGGACGGTGCTCTCCCAGGCTAGAGAAGAGGAAGACCAGTGTCACTTGGAGACCATGGATGAAAGGGCACTTGCCAGTGTCTGCGGAAATTGAAGCTATTGTGACTACAGCAGGGACCGATGATTGCAGGAACTTTGTGACTTCCACATTCCTGAGAGTTAGGCTATTTTATAGATGCAAATGTGAAGGCACTAGTAGGCAAAGCAGCCTGTTCCCACTCACACAGCGTATAAACAGGAGAGCGAGAGTTGGACCTAGGAAGCCTGACCAAGGGGTCATTACTCCTGTGTGTGTGTGTGTGTGTGTGTGTGTGTGTGTGTGTGTGTGGTGTGTTTATGTACATGCGTGTTCAGGGGTAATTGTCTCTTTGTTTGGGGGGTCAGAGGCTGACTTTGTTGGGATTCCTTCTACAATTGCTTCTCCTAATTTTCATGGGAAAGTGTTTCTCATTGAAAATAAGGACCTGATTTGACTGGACTGGTTGACTAGTGAGCCCCCAGGATCTCCTGCTGCAGATACTCATTGACTTTATGTGGGTGCTGAGAATCTAAGCTCAGGTCATCATTCCTGCAGAGCAAGCATTTTACCCACAGAGCCATCTTTCTGCTCTCAGGGTCTTAACTGTCCTTCGTGGGAAGAGGGGAAGTTCAAAATAGTCAGCTCTTAGCTTCCTGGATCATTTACTCATAAGCAGACCATCCCAGTTGGCAAACCATGCCTGTGCACCTGCTACAAGCTGGAAAGAGAGGCCATGAGAACAGCAGATGAAGCAGCCCTTGGATGGCCCATGGATGGGCCACGTGCTTTCCTAGACTGTCATTTGGCTTTCCCAATGAACCTTACATATTACAATTTTCCCATTTTACAGATGAAGACACTGAGGCACAGAGACAGATGAGGACATTGAGGCACAAAGAACTTCAGTGGCTTATTCAAGGTCATATGACAAATAAGTGTTGGACCCAGAGTTTATATTTGATTCTCAATGTGGGGCCTCCTTCCTAGCACTATTGGTAGTAGGATATGAAGAGTCATTTCCATCAGAAGCTCTACTTTTCAGTTTCTTAGGGAGACCCAAGCAAAGGAGCTCTTTCACACAGGCTGTCCTGTGACCTGGTCTAGAGATAAATTCCTCTCCATATTTTCCCTCTGTGTTCTTCAAACAGTCCTGTAACAGTGGATGCTTATGCTCAGCTTGGAGGTGGGGGATGGGGATCCCATCTTCCCACACTCTTGACAGTTCAGATTTGGGAAGGCATGCTTTTCACCATGACTCATCACGGATGACATACACTCCAGTTCATGTGTCCATCTGACCTCATTGCTGGAGTTCTCTGATGACCAAGACTCCAGAATTGCATTGCAACTGGTGTCAACAAGAGGCTGATTGATAAACAGTGTGATGGGCATGGAAGATGAGGTGAGTGCCGTGCTATAAGCAATTGCCAGTCTAGGTCTACCAGTTGTCCCCTCCTTTGGGTGCCACTTGGAACCATCAGAAATTAAAATATTGGTGTCAGAAATCTGCTCCAAATAGTTTGAATGCTGTTTTCTGAGGACCAGGGTCTAGGCTTTGAATTTTCAGGTTTTTCAGTGTGCTTGACTGTATAGTCACACCCAAGAAACAGCACAGGGCTGCACTTTCATCAGGCATGCTTCAAGTCAATGCGCCTTGGTCCTACCTTGGAGGGTCCTGCCGCAATGTTACATGAGCTCTGATAGTCAGTGACTGTGCCTACAAACTTTTAGGTCTCTTATTAGCTTTAATTTATTCCTAGACATTCTGCTACACAGGAAAATGTGAGGGCAGGGAAGATGACTCAGTCAATAAAGTACTTGCTGTGCTAGCATGAGGAGTTTTAATCTAGTGCCTGACTCAAAACTGGGAGGGGAAGGGTGCTTCTAAAACCTCAGCTTTGGAGTGGGTAGAGTGAGGGGGATGCCTGGGGCTCACTGTATAGCCATTCTAGTGGAATCAATGATTTCCAGGCCAGTGAGAGACCCTGTCTAAAACTTAAGGTGGAGAGAAGTTGAGGAAGATACCTAGTGTTGACCTCTGGCATCCACACACATGCATGTGTACCAGCATGTACACATGTACAACCATGAACACATACACAACACATAGAACACCATATACATATTCATATGTGGGAACACCAGACCTTGAGCAGAGACCCACTTCCCCTTCTGCCTGGGAGTAGGCAGCTGTAAGACAATGTTTAGTAAAAACATATTTACTAAAAACGATACAATAAGTTCCTGGCCACTTCCCCTTCTGCCTGGGAGTAGGCAGCTGTAAGACAATGTTTAGTAAAAACATATTTACTAAAAACGATACAATAAGTTCCTGGCCACTTCCCCTTCTGCCTGGGAGTAGGCAGCTGTAAGACAATGTTTAGTAAAAACATGTTTACTAAAAATGATACAATAAGTTCCTGGGAAAGGCCTTCCCACGGAAACCGCCCTGACCTCGACCTTGTCCAGAGACTAACCGCACCTTCAAAAACCCACACACATCCACCTCTGGTGTCAGAGCAGAACCAGCCAGGGTAGAGGAGAGAGCAGAAGCTTCTCTGGTGGGAGCTTTTCTTAGGAAGTTTTTCTTGAACCTTTTTGGAGCCTGTTTAAAGTTCTCTTTATATCATTGAACGAGTCTCTGTGTTTTCAATACCCGACACCCTCCGCACGTTCTCGGACACAGGCCGCGCAGCAGACGTGACAATTGGAGGTCCCACTGAGATTGTGAAAGCGAGGTAAGTGGACGGGGTTAAGAAACTATGGGGAATAGTTCCGGGAAGCTAGAATCATTACAGTATCAACTAAAAAAGTTACTTAAAGAACATGGGACTGCAGTCAAGTCTAAAACCCTAGAAGGCTTTCTAAAATCCATCGAACGAGCCAGTCCATGGTTCATTACTGGGGGAAGCTTAAATATTCCAGATTGGGAGGAGGTTCGCCGTGATCTTCATAGACTTTTACGAAAAGAGGGATCTGAGTCCTTGCCCCCTACGACATTCTCCTTATGGAGATTAGTGAGGGGAGCACTTTTGACAGATAAGGTTCGTCACCACCAGGTAGTTCAGGACACAAAAGAGGCTTTTTTAGAGTTACAAGAGACTGAGACTCAAGCCTCCTTGAGTTCAGGGGAAGAGAGTGATGAAGAGACCGTGACTGAAACTAGAGGCTCCATTGTTAGTGAGGATGAGGAGGAGTCTCTTAGTAACAACAAAAAAATGGGTAGACATCTCCGGGCGCGACCCAAAAAAGAAGGACTCCGGTCAGAATCGGTTATATCCTTCTCTATCAGACCTAGAAAATGGAAGTAGCTCAGACTCAGACTCGTCACAGTCTGAAAAGGAACGGTTACTTGCTGAGATCGCGGCCCTTAAAAAAGAACTAAAAAAGATTCTAATTAAGGAAAGACAGGACAGGGAGAGAAACCCTTCCCCATACTCTGAAAAAAGGGACTCCTCCTATGAGATAACCCAGTCCTTCTCAGACCTGGAGGGAAGACCCAGAGGAGGGGTCCAAT